AAAGGAACAATATTTTACACATTTTTAATATTTCCAAACGGCATGTATTATGTAATTTTAACAACAAATTTCCGTTTCGTTTGGCTCCGAAATTTCGGAAAACATTTCATGGTAGGCCCACAGGATCCTAAATGAACTTCGTAGATGGTGGTATAGGGCAAAATAAAGTATATTGGGTCGGCTATGTGGTTTTAGAAAGGTTGATACAGGATGCGTGATCTGTCTCCTCTGAGAATATCTTTGAATAAGGACAATATTGTAATTACTCAGGCTTGAAACTGTCAAAACTATTAGGCACAGTTGGATCCGAGTAAATTATGGAGTCACTAATGCAATTTACAGATAGTGGATATATAGCATTCAGATGGAATTTGCTAGTTTTATATAAGTGATTATTTTACGTAATCTATACTAATATTATAAAGCTGAAGAGTTTGTTTGTTTGAACGCGCTAATCTCCGGAACTACTGGTCCGATTTGAATAATTCTTTTTGTGTTGGATAGTCCATTTATCGAGGAAGGTTATAGGCTATAAAACATCACGCTATGACCAATAGGAGCCAAGTATCAGTGAATAATGTTGCAAAAACGGGGAAAATTGTTCATATTTGAGGGCTTTTGTTGCGTGCGCCGCGTAAACGGTTCAGGTTACCCAAAAAATATGTATGAAAGAATTGTTTCTCTTTAAATGGGGACCTATGGGGAGGCTTATGTTCAGCAGTGGACGGATAACGGATTATATGCTGATATGGTTATTTATATGTATATATTGGATAACCTATAGTGATAATTTAATGTAACATTGTTTCATACAATAATTTAAAATTGTCTTCCACAAAAAAAACAAACTGATTACAATTGTGACAAAACGAGTTGTTTTGATTTCAAAACTAAACTGCTAAACCGATTTTGATATAATTTCTGTGGGACCGTAATCCGAATGAAATATACACTTTTAGTAAAAAAAAAAAAAAGTATTTTCCAAGTCGGTTTATAACTGACGAAGTTACGAGCTAATATAAATATAATAATATATATATTAAAATAAAAATACAACCCAATTGAGAAATTCCTAAAGTTATAAAGTTGGTTGAAAAATCAACTTCAATAGGAATGCTATTGACATATTTTAAAGCCTTCCGATTGCATACAATATGACGAGTAATTCAGACACGTCTAAAATATTATATTATTGCCGGTTGATAAATATTTTAAAAGAGTCATTATCTACAGGGGATTCTTTCTACGAGTCCAGTATAATAATGCGTTTAGGATGCTGTTGGGGCTGTCCCGGTTTTGTAGTGCGTCGGGAATGTTCGCCGAGGCGCGTGTTGATTGTTTCTACGCTACTATGCGAAAGCGGTGCACATCTCAGACGCGTAGGGTCCGGGGCAGCTCCAACGCTATCCTAAGGGTATTTGCGGACTGTCCAGACTACCAGTATTTGAATCGTTGCAGAATGATTCACATGTTTAAAAAAAAAAAAAGAAATAGGTCAATTGTTAGGCCAATGTTATTTATTATAAGTAATAGAGTAACAATTTAATTTAATAGTTTATATTTGATATAAATTGATATTGTTAAAATTTTGTGGTCCCTGGTTGCCTTTATTAAAGAATTTATTTATTACTAGCGGCCCGTCCCGGCGTCGCATGGGTGGACATTTTGACATTTTAAAAAGTGACCATTAAGGCTGCACACGCGACGAAAGCTTAAAAATGGAGTAACTTCTCCCGTTTTCCCAACATTTCCCTTCACTGCTCTGCTCCTATTGATTGTAGCGTGATGAAAAGTATACTATAACCTGCCCAGGAGTATGAAGAATAATTGTACCAAGTTTCGTTAAAATCCGTTGAGTAGTTTTTGTTTCTATAACAAACATACAGACAGACAGACAAAAATTTTACTGATTGCATTTTTGGCATCAGTATCGATCACTAATCACCTCCTGATAGTTATTTTGGAAATATATTTCATGTACAGAATTGACCTCTTTACAGATTTATTATAAGTATAGAAGATTGTTATTATTTAAAAGACGTCTTCATCTATTCCATTCATGTCTATAGTCAAGAAGCATTACATTGAAATGAGATATTGTAAATAAATTGCAGAGTGGAGGCATAATAATAGCACGTAACCCGATATCTTAAATACTTTATAATAAAAGGAACTCCTGTACAAAATATCATATTTTTAGACACGGCAATTTTACCTTTATAATGACAAATTGCTCGTCTATTGGAAATAATAGACACCTCTGTCCCATTCGTGTTTCTACCGTGATGCAGTTGTGTTTGCATGGCTGTGTTTCGGTTTGAAGGGTGGGATATGTCCGTGAATTTACAGGGTACAAAGGAATAACACCTGAGTCCTCAGGAATGGCAACGCATTAGGGGTATCATGGGGGAAACAGTATACTCTATTATATCCATGGTACTACTCATGTCTATATGCGACGGTTATCACTTTCCACCAGGTGGGCCGTCAGTTGATTTGCCATTCTATGTTGCATAAAAAAATCAAACTGATTCCAAGAAAATGATAAAAAGAGATATCTCTTAATACAATTCGCAAATATCAAATTTGTAAAATGGCGGCCTCACATAATTGTCTGTATAAATATTGAATAATTTATGCTGCGGAAGTGAATTTGTATAAATAAACAGAGCAGGGGAGAATGTAATTAGGCCAAATCAACATAAGGAAACCATTATGTACATATTAGAGTGAGCAAATATAAAAGCAGTTCAATAAGGGAAACAGCTACAGTTTTCTGGTTTTATAGATAGATAGATAGATAATTTATTTGCATTACTTATATCACACAAACGGCAACAGACACAAATGTACAGTGAAAAAATATAAAAAACAGATACATGTACAAAAAATAAAAAAAAAAATGCATAAAATTAGTAACAATTTTTTCCATTCATGCGTGTGCCACAGTAACACAAAATGGTCACAACCCAGCTTATTGCTTTGCCCTAAAAAGAGCAAAATACTGATATTCTGTTGTGACCAAAAGTGAGCCGCGAAATTTCACTGACACAAAAAAATAATAAAAAAAAAAGAAATATAGATAAAATACATTATGTGTGTATTATTAGTTACATATATAGATAGATACTCTTTATTGTTTCCTCCAAAACATTACAACAGTAAACCTATTATAAATATAAACAATTACAAGAAATAATAATAATAATAATAATACAATCTCCAAAAAACAATTGCTGAGAAAATAAACAAATACGCTGAATTTAATGATGAAATCACAAGAATCTGGAAACAGGAAAAAGTTTACATAGTACCGATAGTCCTCTCGTCTACAGGTGTCATTCCCAACCATTTACACCATAGTCTGAAACAAAGGTCTACGAAAAAATCTCTACATCTCCTAACAAAAGGCTGCCATATTAAATACTTGCAGAATAGTCAGAAAATTCTTAGATATAGATGAGGATGAAGTAGCCACCCGTCATACACAAGCATAACCTTCCATACAAACATACACACTGCACTTACTTGGTCAAGTAACCGTAAGTATAGTATAATTACCAGCGCTAAAAGCTGAAAAATAAACAATTCAATGACAATAAATAATTATTTTTTCCAAAGATTTTTGGAACGGGTTGTCTGAGAAAACCGGCAAATTAGCCGAGAATGAAGTAAAAATTTTACCAGAGGGACACTTTGTACAAAAGTCGATTGCTTGGGTACCTCTGTTCCATTCGTGTTTTAACCGTGAAGCAGTTGTGTTTGCATGGCTGTGTTTCGGTTTGAAGGTTGGGATATGGCGTGAATTTACTGGGTACAGAGGAATAACACCTGAGTCCTCAGGAATGGCAACGCATGGGGGTATCATGGGCGAAATAGTGTACTCTGTTATATCCATGGTACTGCTCATGTCTATAGGCGACGGTTACCACTTTCCATCAGGTGGGCCGTCAGCTTGTTTGCCATTCCAAGTTGTATACAAAAAAAAATAATTAAAAGTTTGCCTTCTGGTTTTGTCTGGATAAAGGTGAACGAATGACTCGCAAATAAGAATAATTTAATTTTATATATATATATATATATTCTATTTTTCAGGTACTGTATACCCTTATATACACTCTAATTTATATATGCATATGAATCAACAGTTGGTATAAAGACAGGGTAAGACTTAAGACATGGATAGATTGTGTGAAAGATGATATGGCCTAGAATATTCTTTTTTAATGGATGATAATGAAATGGTAACCCCGCCTGCGCTATCGGTATACACTAGCGGGGCACCAGTGAGTGGTGATAGGTGAGGATGAAAAGGCAGGTCTGTTAGCCCATCGTGACGAATTCAACGATAAATTTGCCACAATAGTTTCCAGGGGGAACCGCGTGGAGGTCGACCCGATAGCATATAGTGATAGCAATAGGTATTAACCTCTCCATTACTAACAACCCCTTCCCCCCATATGGCCAGAATAAGAGTGAATATGGCAATGACTGCGAATAGAGAAGAACAGAAGAGGAAAATATATTACGCCTATCGCAAATGAAGGCAAGAAGATGCTGATGATTCTGATGATGAAACAATAAAATCAACAATTTGAAATGAGAAATAGCTTAGAGAATGATAAAGATTTAAATTTTGAATTTAACAATCTTTATACACACATCATAATGCAAGTATAAATGCGTAAGAATTTCACAAAAGTTTGTTAAAGTGTATGCCATCACCGGAAAGTAAATCGGCAATTTCAACTGATTTTTATTCTTCGCAAAAATTTGAACTTATGACCATCGGTTTTAAAATTATAATGCTCTAATAGTACCTGATAATTATTTTTAAAAAGAAAACAAGGAATTTCATCCATCAGTAGTAATAATTACATATTATTTAATAATCATTATTAATAAGAAAAACAAATATACAATTAAAGAAATAATTAAAAATTTGATTCAAAACATAAATTGCATAGGCATTAAATAGTTACACGTAAAAACAAACCTACCTTAAAATTGGAATTCCAAATTATAAATCAATATTCACAATATATATACATGCATATATGCACGTAATTAAAAATATATGAAATTCTGTAAGAGGGTTCGAGCGCGCGGGTTTATGTTACGACCGACGTTTACAGAGCGGGCGAACAAGTCTACTTTACACAATGGCTCGTACACGACTGACGGAGCGTAGCGCCTGTTGTTATTTCAAAACGGCCGTATCAGGCGAGGTGATAGTAATGACTTTTCACCCTCGACCCTAAAGGCGGGTTGATATAAGTTTGTATATTTGTCTGTGCTTTCGTACCTTATAGATGATCCGATCCGTTTTCAATTCGGTTTCATTTGGAGCCTGGTATTATCTGGATCAACAATCGTCATTAATTATTTTGGCTGTTCGTTCTCAGTCGTTGAACTCCTTCCCTGTAGACTGTCATAAGGAGATCCTGAGCCCTGGCTCCCTATAACATGTTTTAGACTGGCCGATAATATTTTTAATTACTTTTATTCTATTTTGGAACGAATTATTTTAATTTTGTTTTACTTTTAAATGCTAGTTTTGTGACGGTCTTGATTGTACAACGTTAATATATTAACCGATTTGGATTTTTTTTTTATATGCAAGGTTATATTTTTATACATTGAACGGATTTTGTTATATCATCATAGAAATTTTATCAAAATCGGTGCAGTAGTTTAGTTTTTAAATGAAAATAACTGGTTTTGTCAAAATTAAAGTGATTTATCTGATTAGAATTATTTTGTTTAATTCCGCTTTCAATTAATATGTGTGCGAGTGTTGGCGGTCACACACATGTGTGGGACCGCCAACACTCGAAGATTGACGACCACAAGTTAGTGTTGGCAGTCGCACACATATGTGTGACCGCCAACACTCGCACACATATTAATGGTAGCGGAATGAAACAAAATAATTCTAATGAAATAACCAATGATATGGACTTCCACAAGATAACACCTAGTTCAGTAAAATATATTTGAAGTGGGGTTTTTTATCTCAAATTATACATATATTTTACTAGCTGACCCGGTAAATAATGTTATGTCCTCCACTACCCTCTACAGTATCCCTTTGCTGTTATCAGGGTAAAACTATCTTATCTCTCAAGTTGGACCAATATGCATACATTTAGAAAGTTTCATTAAAAACGGGTAAGGGGTTTTGGTGATTAGCATGAACAAACATCATGATACAGCCATTTATAACATAGAGTTGTTGAAGACAATCAGGTCATTGGAATTATTATTTTCAACCGACTTCAAAAAAAGGAGGTTCTCATTATAGTTATATTTTCGACTGAATTTAAAAAGAAGTAGGCTGTCAATTCGCTTGTATGTTTTTTTTCTAATGTTTAATACCCCATAACTTTACGGGGCTATGGTGTGACAAACATTAACATTCGGTTTACAGCTGACGCATTGTAAATTTGGAGAATCGTTTTTTTTATCTGCAAGGATATACTTACAGATTAGTGGCATGGAAATTTTATTAAAATCGGTTAAGTAGTTTAGTTTATATGTCAAAAAAACTAGTTTCGACACAATTGAAGTCAATTTCTTTATGAATAACAATCTTAATTATATATTTATTATAAACCTAGTGTTGTATTCTAAAATAACTTTCGGTTTATAGTAATACATAAAAAAGAAATATACACACATATAGGTTGTTAACGCAACATTTGTTTTATTCAACTTAGAATGGCAAACAAGCTGACGGCCCACCTGACGGAAAGTGATAACCGTCGCCTATAGACATGAGCAGTACCGTGGACATAACAGAGTGTACTGTTTCGCCCATGATACCCCCCATGCGTTGCCATTCCTGAGGACTCAGGTGTTATTCCTCTGTACCCTGTAAACTCACGCCATATCCCACCCTTCAAACCGAAACACAACTGCTTTACGGTTGAAACACGAATGGGACAGAGGTACCCAAGTAAACGACTTTTGTACAAAGTCTCCATTTGGTGAATCTGACACTTGTAGTTTAAAAAAAGGGGCTTTATTTTAGTTATACTAAATGAAATAATCATACTATGGGTAAATACAACAATGCATTTATTATTAGTCCTATTGAGAAATTATAGAGTCGATTAATTTTTCACCAGCTATTTTATAAATATCATCATCATCATCATCATATATCAGCCTTTAACTGTTCACTGGTGAACATAAGCCTGCCCCTTGAGGGGTTCTGCCAGTAATTGTTATGCTTGGTAGGCGGATTGGCAACCGCAGTTAGGCTTTAGAGATGTTTTAAGAGAGACGCTACTGCCCATCTCTCGCCCTCTCGCCCCCTCTCTTAGTCACTCCTTACGACACCCACGGGAAAGGAAGGGGTGTCTTATTCTATGCCAGGACCATACGGATTTTAAATTAAATTTTATAAATACGGATCTGAAATAATCCAAGCTCTTCTTAATATACAAAATCGTGTCTCTTTTAGCCTGAGAGTATAATTATAAATTAACAAATGAAATAGTATTAAATATAACAGTTTCACGGTTTTTTTTAATGGGTGATAATGGAATGATAACCCCATCTGCGCCATCGGTATACGCTGGCGAGGCACCAGTGAGTGAGTGATCATAGGTGAGAATAAAAAGACAGGTCAGTTAGCCCATCGTGTTGAATACACTTGGAATTCAGCACGATGGTTTCCAGGGGTGACCACGTGGAGGTCGACCTGTTTAGGTATATTGCTAGCAAGGGGGTACTTAGTCTCCATTATTAACAATCATGAATGGGACAGGAGCACTCAAGTAAACGACTTTTTGTACAAAACTTCCCTCTGGTATCAATATTAGATATTTCAAAAAATGTTTACCATTGTACTATTCCACTTCAAATGTGAGTTCGGTTATTAGTTTTGAAGTATATATGAAGATAAACGAAATAAAAAACTTTGGCTATTCAAAATATACAACGTGGTACGTACTTGTTAAATTGAGCCGCTGGGATGCTCCCGGGCTTCGGACCGCGGGCTGGAAAGAGCGGTTACCGCGGTTTATTAACTTTGTTTCCGTTTCTAATCCGAAAGAACAATAAGAACTTAATTTTTTTTTTTTTTAATAAATTAGACGGTACAATTTGCAAATTTTATAAGTATAAAAATGAATTTTCCAAGTTTCAAATTTGGAACATTCATTTATGTGAGACCGAGGCATAGTTATATCAGGCAGATCAAGGAAGGAGTTGGTGTCGTGGCGTATCAAGAGGTGAAGAGACTCGCTGAAAATCGTAGTGAGTGGCAAGAGCTCCACCGACAAGAGCGCAGCTCTTAAATAGGATAGATAGACAGATTTATGTAATGAGAGCAATTATGACGTTCTTATAATGATTTATAATGCTTTTTTCGTTCTTTATATTATAACCTTGTATAACATTAAATTGGCCGTGTGGTCCCGGCATTGAATAAATCACCCCTTCCTTTCACGTGGGTGTCGTAACAGGCGACTAAGGAAGAATGAGAGATGGGCAAGAGCGTTCCTCTTAAAACATTTAGAAAGCTCGCCTGTCATGTTTGCCTTGGAGAGTTTTGCTAATAGTTACCACTATTAGCAACCCCCCCCCCCCAAGGGGGAGGCTTATGTTCAGCAGTGGACAGTTAAAGGTGGTATGATGATGACGATGTGATGATATAATATAGGCACAATCATTTTGATATATTGTTATGTAAGTATGTAAGTGGCCAACGTTGTTGCTGGCACAACAATAATTTATTTGCCAAATTGGTTTACAACTGACGGATTTATGAGGTAACGAATATAAAAAAAAATCAACTATTTTGAGAAACACCTTCTATTCGAAATTAGTTAAAAATATATATGAGAACCCGGCTGATCTTAAGAAGAGTCCACATGTGCTATCTGCCATACCCACTTCAAGTTGTATCACCTTTTTTTAATAGATGATAATGGAATGGTAACCCTGCCTACACTAACGGTATACGCTGGCGGGAAACCAGTGAGGGATGATAGGTGACGATGAAAGCAGGTCAGTTGGCAGTTTACAAGATAGATAATCCCATTGTGATGAATACACCTGGAGTTCAGCACGACGTCTACCAGAGGGTACCTGGAGGTTGACTTCACAGGGTATATTGCTAGCAATGGGACTGGTAGTTCGTATTACTAACAATCCCTCTTCCTCTTTTTTTTTATACAACTTAGAATGGCAAACAAGCTGACGGCCCACCTGATGGAAAGTGGTAACCGTCGCCTATAGACATGAGCAGTACCGTGGACATAACAGAGTATATTGTTTCGCCCATGATACCCCCATGATACCCCCATGCGTTGTCATTCCTGAGGATTCAGGTGTTATTCCTCTGTACCCTGTAAATGCACGCCATATCCCACACTTCAAACCGAAACACAGCCGTGCAAATACAACTGCTTCACGGTTGAAACACGAATGGGACAGAGGTACCCAAGCAATCGACTTTTGTACAAAGTCTCCCTCCTCGCCTCTTGTTTGTACAACCTCAGGCACCAAGTCCACGGATCTCCCTTAAATTCGTCACTGTGTACTTGGCGAAGTACCTTCATGTTGTCATGAGTTCAGCAAACGACATCAGATAATTAGGCGGTTGTTAAACGAAATGTTAACGTAATAAAACATTATTTTGTTTCTATTAACAAGTAGATAATTGGAGCGCCATCACGAGACAGAGTAAATTACTTTTTAAAAAAAAACAAATGTAGTTTTCAAGCGAAATAAATTATTCTTTAATTTAATACACATACGCCAGAGATTTTTTTGATGGCAAATAAGCTGACGATTTTATTCTATTCTATACCAGCTTTTGCTCTCGACTTCGTACGCATAAATTTTGAAAGTTTTAGTCGCTTAAGGGTTGAATTTTCCAAATTCCTTTCTTATGTTTTACCAACATAGCGTGGATGGGGGAAAGGGATTATTAGTAATGGAGACTGAGAATCCCATTGGTAGCAATATACCCAACCAGTTCGAGGTACTATTCACATAAAACATACGTATGATATGTATTATGTAAGCGTCACCTCATCCGTATTAATGTTGTTGACCCAATTCTCAAAATGCTGTGCTAATGCGTATAATGTACCGAGAATTGATGAATTACCACAGCTGTGCGCCCGGTGAGACTTCTCGCTGGCAAGTTCCTTATAAACTTTCATTCTACTCCTACTT